ATTTGGCATTTTGTCTACCTATCAAATTATTATTATTATTATTATTATTATTATTATTATTATTATTATTATTATTATCCCTTGAGAACGGCATTAATTCACTAGGTTCTCAAAACAACCTGGTACCTATGGACTGGCTGGATTTCAAATGGACTGTTGGACACTGGTGGGAGGAGACCTGGAATAGGCTTTTTGATGTAACCTTGCTTTGCCTTCCTGCTATCACTAACTCTCAATAAAAGTTCTTTTTGAAACAATGCCTGTTTCAAGAGTTCTGGTTTCTTGGGAGATCTAGTTGAGGTCCTTACAGTGATTCCTTAGGAGTGATATATGATTTGCCTTAAATTATATGTCCTCTTCAATTATATGTCCTGTTCAGCACCTTAAAGTGTATGACAGGTTCTGTTTGTATGTCTGTGGGTCAATATATAATGTCTTATTATAAGAGGAGATCACTGAGGGGTTGTTGTTGCAATTATCCAGGGCACCACAAGCCATGTAGGCCACAGGAGCAACATTCCTGTGATGTCATCCTCCATCAATCTATGTTTACTGGTCAAGTAAAAGTAAAAAGCAATGTTACAATTATATCCATTCCTGTTATGGAAGTCACATCTCTCCTTGCCCGACAGCCATCCTCATGATTCTACACACACTGATTCTCTTTAGGGCGTTTAGGACCAACTGAGTGACTTCTGGCTTAGATGTAATGGAGGAGGAAGGCCCCTGCAATGGATATGAACTGGGAAGTCTGGAGCTTTGTGGAACCAGAAACAGGATATTTTCCTGTTGGAGGTATTCTCATGTGATTCCCTCCTCCTAGCTCTTGAGTTAGTTGCCCTGGAAGGTCCTGGAAGAGGATTTCTATTTGAAAGCTCTCTCACGGTAAGCCAAACTGTTGAGATCAATCAACAGACTGCTTGATTGTTGTTGCTGTTTTTAATTGCATTTGTTTTCTTCACCCTGTGTGCAGAAAAACTGTGGCTGTTTTTGTAAAAGGTCACCTAGCAGTTTGGAATAGCATTGTGATTGTCCATCCTTGTCAGCATTTCTGAGTTGGCAGAAGTGAATATGGTCCTGGGGGGAGAGGTATAAAAGTGGCTGTAGACTGTCAAGGCTTATTGTACCACCCTCAGCCAATTTGAGGGATTAAATGTCTGCCTGCAGAAGCTGGGGGTGCTCCATCACTGGAAGGTTTTAAGAAGAGACTGGACAGCCACTTTTCTGAAATGGTATACGGTTTCCTACTTGAGCATGGGGTTGGACTAGAAGACCTCCAAGGTCCCTTCCAAATCTGTTATTCTGTTAAAGAAGGTTTTTATTAAAGGAAAAAGCCAAAAACATGACATAAGTAATATTGACTTGAAGAAAGGCCTGTGAAAAGATTGGGCTGAATCATTAATCCCACTGGAATCTAATTAACTGAAGGATTTCAATTAACTCCAATTATTACCCCATTTAGTAAAATGAATATTTTAATGATTGTTACATATTACTTAGCTGTGTTTCATCTGTGCAGATAAATTCAAGTACTAAAGGATAGTGCAGTGGTGGCGAACCTATGGCACGGGTGCCAGAGGTGGCACTCAGAGCCCTCTCTGTGGGCATGCACGCCATCACCCCAGTCCTAGACCTTCAGCTGGGTTTTATAAAACCTTTTTGCTTTAGGCCTCTGCCGCCATGTGCAAAAAAAAAAAAAAAGGTCCAATCAATCAGTCAATTTCAACTTCTCGCAGGGAAAAAAAAGATCTTGCAAAATTGGAATTGATTGATTGAACTTTTTAGTCCCACCCAGTCTGCCATTACCACTGCAGCCACGCCCACCCAATTGGCCACACCCAACCAATGGGCCACACCCACCCGGCACTCGATGATGCATAAGTGGGTTTTGGGTTGCAGTTTGGGCACTCGGTCTCTTAAAGGTTCGCCATCACTAGGATAGTGCGTAAAAATAATTGGTACATAATAGAGATATTCTCACAACTACTTCATTTATACCAACGAAGGAAAAATTATAAACCTGTTTCACTGAGCAATTTATTATTTGCTAAATCCAGAAGCAAAAATGAAAATATTGAATTTCCTCTTGCTGTTTTCAGTCCTTCCACTCTCCAATAGGGAAGCTGGCAGATGGTGACCACATGATGTTGCGCTTAACTACAGTGCAGGATTTGCTTAATGATGGGAAACCAATAGTGCTGGAACTGCCATCACTAAAAGAAGCCATTACGTGTCATCACACTTTGTGACCATGTTTCCTAGTGACAGAAATTCTGGACCCCATTGCCTTGTTGATCAAGGACTAGCTGCATTGGCTTTCTGTAAACATCCTGACCAAGGAATTAAATGGCTGGTTTAATGGGGGGAGGTCTTCTCTTTTTGCCCCTTTGGTGTGCTGTGACTGAATTGTGTTGATGAGTCTTGAGGTGATTGCAAAATCAGACACTGAAATAGCAAAGTTATTTCTGGCCGAGTCCCTGAATTTCTGAAGTGCTTGAGCATGGGAGCTATGCAAGTTGTATGGGTAATGGATTGGGATTGTCTGCATCACCGTGAGGTCAAAGGTTATGTTGCTATCTGAGCTGCATGAGGAATTTCTGTCATAGTCTCTGACTTGTTGCCTCTGTCAGTGTTTCCAGGGCTGCGGTCATCTTATTTGCTTTCATGTTCATATTAAACATGTTCCAGAAGCGATGGCTCTTCTTCAACCATAGCCATGTCTTATCCTCAGCCACAGCTTAATGTGGTTATAGGATTGCTCTGCCCATACAGAAAGAGAAGATTTTTTTGTTTGTTAAATCCAACTGCTTGTTCAGGGGTTCAAGAAGGCACTCATGGCATTCTCTTTTCCCATTTACTCCATAACAAAAAACCCAGTGAAATAAGCCGGATGCGGAAAGAGAGACTGATCCAAAGTTGTTTGGTATGTTTCTGTGGGTGGGCTAAAATCTGGGCCTCCTGTCCCACTCCAGCACATCAACCACTTCACCACAATGGAGTAAAAACTATCATTAATAAAAATGACTATTGAAATAGTTATCACTTTAAATGTCTTAATTATGACCTCCTGAAATCAGCTCCTATAACTCATTTCTTAGCTTTAACAGAGTCCACAGCTATCAGGCCTGCCCCAATCTACTCCCTCAGGAAAGTAAGATTCATGACTCCATTTGATTGGAACAGAGGAACTTTGACTGAAACTGGTTGCAGTAAACTCAGGAGGAATCCGGTGTTCCCAAGCAAAATACAAAGCTATTCTTTTCCTTTCCCACTCTCTCCCCCCCCATGACCAGTCCCCTGGCCAGCCAATGCAATGCCGGTAAGATGTTTTGAGAAACTCTGAGGTGTCAAACTGGTAACATTCTATTCTCAGGGCAAACGGCCTTGAAGATCTTGGTACAAGCTGGTTTAGTGGAGATCTGGTTGTCTTCCATTGTCATTCCCCTCTCCCTATTTCCCACATTTGAAGTTACAGAAATAGCACCCAATAAACCCCCTCCTTCCCCACTTCTTAATGGCAGGACACCAGCAAGGCCCTTCTTCTTTTCACCCCATATTAAATAAGATCTGTTAACAGAAAGGAACCGCAACATCACTCTTAATTAGGCGCATGTGTTATGTTAATGTGGTTTATTTGAGTTTGGCCCAGGGGATTCTGTGAACCTAGCTAATTATGGCTTATTCAACAACTCACAGGGAAACAAACCAACTCAGTTCTCACTGCAGGAAGCTAATCTATAGATGAGCTGACGCAGACTTCCCTAGGCAGATCAGGGAAAAGCTTAGAGCAAAGAAAGCAGCAGAGGAAAAAAAAATGAGAGACAAGACCAGGAAGAGAAGAATTTTATTTATGTGCACACTTCTCCGTTCAATAATGTGTTGAAACGAATACTGCACGGATGATTGCTGTGAAGAAAGATCAATCCGTTCTGCCGCTCTTGGAGAGAATGAGGGGGAGGGAAGAACATCCAACCGCACAGGGTGCTTTGGAGAAAACAGGACGTCAGCAGGCAGCAGTCCCCTTTTCTCGTTGGGTTCTTTCCATTTCCCCACATCGTAACAAATGCATGAATAAACAGGACGTAAATTTCTGCTGGCGGGACCCTTTCAAGACACGATCATTCTCTCAACCCGCTAATCTCCCCGACATGAAGTGAGGCAAAAGCTCAAAAGCCACGAATGGGGCAGGCGGACTGAATCTCTCTCTGCTGAGAAGGAGAATGAAGGAGAGAGAGCGAGAGAGAGAGCCAGCGACGAGGGTGTGTGGGCGGGAGGGCGGGGAAGCGGACCAGTGAGCGAAAGCAGAAGAGGGCTTTTCATTAATGAGCTTGTATCGAACAGCCAGAGTTGCCTAAGCATTCAAGGCTTCACATGCGTGCGATTTTCTTACAGGGGCTGTGATGTTTACCTTGTGCCTCACATTTCCGATTCTATCAGCAGATTCCTACGGGCATCTCGCTCTCTATTTATATATAAAGGAAGGCCTCTCCTTTTTTTGCGGGGAGGGGGGGCACGCCATGGTTTAGGAATCCTAATCACAGAGGAAAGGAAGGGTTACCATAAAGCTACGGAAAGAGCTTCGCAATGAGTCTGCTTGGGTGGAGATCAAAAGGAAAATATCAGGCCAAACAGCGTGGGAGGCTTGAATGAAGATAGAAAGGAAACACGTGTATTTCCATGTGGGGGGGGGGGTGCAGGTGGCCTTCCTGGTAACAGCGTTTGTTAATTCCAAAGAATGGGAGGGGGCTTTACCTTCGCTGGGAAATAATAAGAACCATCCTACCGGGTGGGAATTTGTGGGAGGCTTTGTGCGGCAAAGGGAAAGATGGAGATGAGGTGGGAGTCCTTTCCTAGCGGATTCTAAGGGAGGGTCTTTGAGACCATCTCAGGAATTCTCCGCCCCGTTCCTTTGGGGTCCACCTCTGACGCAAAACTCTTCCCTCCTTCCTCCGCTTGACTCTGGCGCGTATCCCCCCCCCTCCCTTAAATAGCCTGGACCTGCTGGTAGAAGAGAACTGATACGAAGAAGCTTCAGCCTTTGCGTGCCAACTGCTTGCTCCGCCGGCCATGGTGCCTTGCGTGGCGCTGCTCAGCCTTCTCGGATTCGCAGTTCTGGCAGGTAAGTCAGACCAGCGAAGCAGGATCAGCACCCTGGACAGCGACCATGGGATTGAGGAGTGTAGGGGATTGCCGCGTCCGGAAAAGGCACGGTGGGAATTCCACAGCCCTCACCAACCGAGCTTCTGTACCGGTTGAGAATTGGCACAGGAGAAGGGAGTAGTCTTCTGACAATTAACAGCTGATATTTCAGTCTGCATGTGGCTCTCATCTCATATAAAATGTTTGTGCTAGCAATGTATTAATTACCGCCAATGCATACTCTTTATCATATACATACAGAAACAAGAATGTGGATGTATACATGGTCAACTTAATGATTAATAATAGCTAGCGTATGTTCTCTTCTTTGCTGGAGGAAGACCCAGCAAGATTCATTGCTGTGCAAATAGCAGAGCCAAAATCTCAGAAGTATGTTGGAAATCAGCCCGTCAATTGGACAGCTTCTGCCTTTCAGAAGTGCACTAGGTTTCCCAGTCAGAACCATCCATACATTAACTGCCCTAAATTTTTTGGGGCAGAGGAAAAGAAAATAAGGCGGGGAAAAATTAATACAGTGTGCATGTGTATACACATATTTGTATCTATATTTGTCTCTTAACATGTATATGAGAAAAGAAGCAAGAAGGAAACTCTTGTGTAGTTACTGGATGCAGGTACATATTCTCTGGTAGAAAAACAAACATACAAATATATGGTTTAATTCTTCAGTGATTAAATATATTGTGCAAATGTTCAGATTATGCTTTTTGCAATTTGAGATAATTTTTTTTTAAATCTAAAGGCTAAAATCACTTAAGAAAAGTAATATTGAATATGTTGACAAGAATGTTTACTAGTGGCTCTGTGTTTTATCCATTGACAAAAGCATATAAAAAGGGACCATTTAAATAACGTTTGACTTTTCTCCATCAGCTTGAACAAGCAGATGATTAAGAAAATGCTGCTTAGTCTTCAAATAAAAGCAACTATTTTTAACAAAAGTACTCTTGAGGGTAATTGTCACCACTGAAGTGTTGTTGCTGCTTCCTTTAAAACCTGTAGCATTTAGACCTCTTTTTTTAAAAAAAAATCTTCTCCCTTCCCCTTACAAGTGTGTAGATTTTATTTTTCAGGTTTTAAAGCGCTAGCAAGAAAGGGACAATATGATTCTTGAACTTCACATCTGTGTATATCTGAAATGCTATGCAGATGTTGACCAAATTGTGTGTACTGGGTGAAATCTCATGCCTACATATGAGAAATTTATCCTGGATCTAGTAAAACTAAGTCCATAATATGAATTAGAATCAGATTAGGAATGGGCAACTTAAGTCCCTTCCATTTTATTCAGTCTACTCTATTATGATTGAATCTTGAATGAACTACTTGTTCCTATAATGAAATGCAAATCTCCATTCCCCTATAGGCTGCAGTCCTCTATGTACTTAGCAGGGAATCAGCACCACTACATTTAATAAGGCTTACAGGTTAGCATTTTTGTATAAGAGAACAGTCAGTTGTTCCAGAATATCTTGGCACATATATTGTAGAGTAGTTTGAAATCAAATGATGTAACAGTGTAAAAATGTAAGAATTTCACTAGTGTAGTTTTCAAGGATGTTTTAGAACTGCATGTAAAAATGATATTATGACTGTATGTTTAAGTTAAGGCATGACCAAGCAGGACAATTTGAATTGCTAATTCTATAATCCATTATCTTGTGAGATACCAAAAACTGTCTTACTCATAAGAGTTCCCCAAAAGATTTAATTCTCATTAAATTTTCTCACGAACATTTATCAGCCAATATAATATTCTATATTCAATAACTCTTACAAAACTTCTTTTACTTTCCTGGAATGAAGAGGAAGCATTAGCTACATGTATATAAGTAAAAAAAAATCAGTATGTATATGTGTAACATACAATATCTGAGAATGTTGAAAGTTTTCTCATTGATCCTTAAGGCACACATATTATTCTCATATTAAATCCAGTTTAAGAGAGAAATGTGGAGAAATATCATATATTATCATTGTTTCTGATGTTTGATAATGTCAGCAGAGCAAGGCATTGTCACTGATGCCATTAGTATCATGTTGCTGTTGACAAGTTGGGTTGAAAAGCAGAATGGAGAGAAGGTCCCTTCAATTCCAAAGCTTCCATCCGATGGCCCATTCATTGCCCTCTTCCATTTTTTAGATACTCCAAAGCATAGCTCTATTGCTGGCAATGTGGGAGCAAAGGCAAGGAAGTTTAACCTTGCTTATTTGCTTATCAGATTTGTATATTATTCAGTCACAATATTTCAAGTTCTGTAGCACCACTACAACCCTCACATACTGGTTAAAATTCATTTGACTTCATTAACTTAAAGCATTTCATCAGAAAGCAAATCTTACAGGCTTTAACAGTACCTATACTGGTCAATGGCTTTTGTACCAATTGGAAGACCCGCATTAGTTGCTTTCATAGGCTCAGTGATTGGCATGCCCACTGTTGAGGGCTAATGAAGTAGTTTCATTCATATACCTTGGGAGAGGGTTCTGGAAGATGTATTGACTCTAGGGAGTCATCCAACCTGGATTGTCTGTGCTATAGTGTATCAATGATTCTCTGCTGTAGGTTAAATATAACAGAAGCAAGAACAGATAACTAGCAGGCAGCCTGATTATTTATTAATCTGTTTTGCTATAACATTTGTCCCCAGGTGATCTATTTTGCAGCTTTGATCATGGTGAGATATAACCCAATGAATTAGATTAGGTTTAGAAATAATGACTTACCCAGAAACATATGGTGAGTTTTTTTGCACGAGTAGAAGTTGGTATATATAAGCATGTTCTTGAATGCCCCCTACTACAAGAGGGCTGGCTCTGCATTAGCAAATTAGGACTGTTTATTTTGTGCTGTTTTCTGCTAGCTGCAATTAACCTTAATTAACAATGTGATACATCGACTTCCAGAAAGTTAAAGAACAATATGGTGGCTGATCCACCTGAACTCACTGTTCTATAACGAAACAAAAATTTGATGTTTCATCTAATGAAAAATAAGCAAGTATAGCATATTTGGTAGAGAAAGGAACAACATGTATATATCTTTATAGGTTTAGGAAATAAACTAATACAACTCTTTGCCGGGAGATGTATCTTTTGTAATCTGAGGCTATATTGTTCCTACCAGCAGTAATAGTAATTTATCACCATCATTGAGGGTTATTTTTGTTCAACATGGCCCATTTTCTCTCATCCTGAACAACTGCATTGTAATGGGAACATGCTATCTTTATGTATTATACATGTACAGTCGTCATATGTTAAAACTTCACTCACTTTATGCCAAGGAGGACATCAACATTTATGTATAATAGGATAGCTTTTCAACAGACAACAACGTAGACAAAAGAAACAAGTAAGTTACGTGTGTTGCTTACTATACATTACAATCATATCAACCACAATAATTATACTTTCTTAACATTGCCTTAATCCCCGACAGGACTTAGAAATACAAAGTTGCTTGCAATTGTTTTAAAATTTTAATTCATAGAATTATATTCTCCAGATGAAATCTTCATTATTTTTGGTGCGAGATGAAAGACTGGAGGATCCAAACAGTAGGGGGAAAAAAACACCATTTTGCACATCTGGTATTAAAAATATAATTTTTGCAGCAAATTTGGGAAGCTATCTTACACTGGATCCAATGTCTACACTATTCTATAATGGGAGTCTGTTTTGGATCTCAACTCCTTTTATCCTCAGCTTGCATGGCTTATGGCAAAGTTTATGGCCTGCATCTTCGATATCCTTCCTCCTTAGACAAATGCATTGCCTTTCAAAGCTCATGTAGCCTCACCACTTTGAGACGAGACCTTTTCTTAAACTGGAGGTGCTGTGAATTTAACAAGGGACCTTCTGAAAGCAAGTGTGCACTCTGCCATTGAGTCAGAGAGCCTCTTCTCCGTCTGTATTAAACACACAGATCCTGGCTACGCAATGGCCATTATAGTTCATGTATTTTAATTTGCTGTAGAAGATGTCAGGATGAAACTTTACACTGAGCGATTCTCTTATGCGTTAGTTAAACGTTTAATACCAGCTGAAGAAAGAACAGCCAATGTATTTGATGCGTTCTGAGTTTTATTGAAATTTTTGAACTAGCAAAAATGGAATGGCCATGGCTTAAAGGACACCCTTCTGCTGGGGATGCATTTTCCTTCCCCAGACAACATCACCACTTCAGACAGCAGCATTTGACCTCTTCACACAGCCCACTGTTATTTAAGGTTGCAATATAGCAATTTATTGAAACATTGCTTTGCCTTTTATCAGGAACGAGCAGCTTAATGGATAGTGATTGTTCATCACATGGACTTCAGTGTTTGTTATTTTCTACATATAATAATTGTAGGATACAATCCTTCAAGTTTTTCCTCCGATTAAAAGAAATGAGAGGACTGTATCCCAAATTTTGTGAATTTTTCCCCCTCGTGCATTAGAAATGGGATTGATTACCCTTCCCTCCTTTTTTCTGCATCCCTTCCATTTCAAATCTGGTCCACATATTCTCCTGCTGGACAGAGCAGGTGAGTGAGGCACAAAAGAGGCAGAAGGGAGGGGAAATCTTAACAGATGCCATTCCATGAAAAAACAGACTCAGCTGGACTCAATGCAGACACCGGAGTTCGCTGTAGAGATACATGTTGTTCTGTGTGATCCTATCACACAGGATCAAAAGAATGTCAGATCTGTATCCAACCTTCTTTGCAGTTGCACCATAAAAGAAGGATTTTGATCTAGAATCTAGAACTCCCTCCATTTGGTACTAGAGGCATCCCACCATGAAAAGCATCAACATAACCATGGGTGAACAGAACTACCTTTGTAGTTTTAATGCAGTGTATATATAAGGAGAGAGAGGGGGAGAAGGTCCCCAATGTGCGGTGCTCCAGGGATATGGTCCAAATAGATAGTCCTCTCCAGTGCTTTTTTTCTAAAAAAAAAAAAAAAAAAAGGTGCCGGAACTGACACACATCATATAACCCGCCTTGCCTAGCCTACAAGGTTCCATCCCAAAAAAGGTGCCGGAACTCCATTCTGAGAAAAAAAAGCCCTGGTCCTCTCTGTTCTTTTGCCAGCTGACAGATGGTGGCATGTTTTGTTCAGTGCTTAAATTGCTGCCAGGGAATTAAACAAACCGGACAGCAATTTCACTTGCTTCCTACTGTGCTTCTCCTTTGTAAGCCTTTTGAATGGCAGTTAGTTTATGACAGTGGTGGTGAACCTATGGCACGGGTGCCAGAGGCGGCACTCAGAGCCCTCTCTGTGGGCACACGCGCCATCGCCCTAGTCCTAGGCCTTCAGCTGGGTTTTATAAAACCTTTTCGCTTTAGGCCTCCACCTAAAGCGAAAAAAAAAAAGTTCAATCAATCAGTCAATTTCAGCTTCTTGTGAGAAAAAAAAAGATCTTGCAAAGTTGGAATTGACTGATTGAACCCCCAGCCAATGGGCCACACCCAGCCAATGGGCCACACCCAGCCAATGGGCCACACCCACCTGGCACCCGATGATGCATAAGTGGGTTTTGGGTTACAGTTTGGGCACTCGGTCTCTAAAAGGTTCGCCATCACTGGTTTAGGAGGTGATGAATCTCAGGCCTTTCCAACAGCCTCAGCATCGTGGTCAGTCCTCATATATGATGAGGGTTGGAATTCTGAAACATATGGCTGAGTTCTGGCTTCAGTTTCAGATCTGGCCCAGCACTTAGCTTTCCATTATCTTGCATGACAGCTCCTTTATGCATGGGGGCAAACATGAAATCTAGTTAAGAATAATCTTTTCTCTGGACTGCAATGCCAAAATTCATCCACAGATGGCCAAATAATGACAGTGCTTTTTTGTGCATTCAGCTGGAAAATACCTCAATAAGCTTACTGTTATGTTCATTAAAAAATATTAAAAATGGGGGGGGGGAACAGTGTCAATAATGTTAGAAATCCCTTTCTTATTCCTCTCAGTGACAAATAATCTTATGGCTCAATTTCTTGTTGCTCTGGTCTCCTGAAAAAATAATAAAAGAGTTCCCACTCATGAAATAATTCAGTCCCACAGAGGGGGTTGTCGGCCTCTGATTGAAGGCCTTCAACAAGAGAAACTCTACTGCCCTTCTAACTTCTCAAACTTCATGTTCTCACCACAAAGACATTTCTTGTAAGGTTGAACTAAAACAAGGGTCTTCAAACTTGGCCCTTTTATGACTTGTGGACTTCAACTCCATGTCTGGCTGAGGAATTCTGGGAGTTAGTTCACAAGTCATAAAAGGGCCAAGTTTGAAGATCCCTGAACTAAAATATCTGTTTTAAGTCTATTCGGTCAAATCATGCCCTTTGGAGAAGCAAAGAAAAAAAGTCTTTGCCATCTTTGATGGTATTAAGTAGAATATTGATGTGTTATGTTATATACCCTTCTAATAACCAATACTAACCGCTGAATTTTCTTCTAGATAATTACACTAAGGAAATTCTGTAATAGTATTTTGACCCAGAATATAAGGACCAGAAGTCCCCTTTAGCAAGAAGGAATCATGTCAACAAAAAAAAAAAAAAGGAGAATCACATCAGATGCTAGATAATGATGATGACCATAATAACAACGGGGGAAAATAATACCATGCATGCCTTTAATGCTTGTGGTGATTTTAATAAGTATTAACATTTATTTAAGCAACTGCAAAATTTCAATGCTATAGGAAGATTGGGAAGAGAGCTATCTCAAAATAAAACTGAGGGGATTCATGCAGGTTGTTTAGCCACTTGACGAGGAAAGGGACAAATGATGGGGTTTCTTTATAATTATGGGAGGTAGGTGACTGTATGTGGGCATCTTTTACTCTAGATCATGAGTTCTTTAACTCTCAGGACCAAACCAGCTTCTCCATATAAATGACTGAAGATGAACAAGACCCTTTAAGCTGAGGTTGCAGCTATCTCATATACCATTGGCTGCTCTGGTGACAGATGACAAATATCTCGAAATAAAAGCAGTTTACCAGAGGATACCTGCTAGGAAAAATGGAATACATGCCAAGTGCCCAAAGGGTTTCTCCAATGTTTTATTCAAAGCCTGTTGTAATTTGCTCTCACACCGTATTGTTCCCTCTTTCATGAAATATCAAATATCATGTTCTATCACTACACACTGTATAATTAGACATGGATGTTTGAAAGAGCCTGGAATGATCCAACAGGGCTGTCAATGCTGTTTTCATTTTTTTTTTCTCCAAAAGTATATCTCAGCCCTCTGTAGCATCAAAGCTACAAACTGATTTTGAAACGAAGGTAAGAAATGATGGCACCTACTAATTTGAACACAGCTTGGGTTGCACCCCATGGGGTTTGCACTACCAATTAGTGTCCTGCCTGATGGATGGCTGCATATTGGATGTTCATTCACGATTAAACTGTGTGAGCAAACCAATTTGCTTGTATTGGTGCTTCTGTCCGTGTCTGCTTTTTACTGCCTGCATTGCAGATGGAGGCAAGCTCTCACGCGTGGGGGGGAAGGGGGGGAAGGCAGAGGGTGGGGTGATTTCAAACACAGAGGCAGGCAACATGAACCAGCGCTCTCTTGACACACTAAGGTGGGGAAAGAGACACTCCTAATGCCATCTGGCAACTTGCCAGGGACTTTTGCATTGCTACTCTCATAATTTACAAAAAATGTGAAAGTTAAAAGATTATATTGATATATTTAGTTGATCATACTTACTTTCCTGTTCTTCTTTCTTGGTCCATTGGTTGTTATTATTTGAACCCAAGGAACTTTTTTAAAAAAGTTTTCATACAACCGTCCTCATAGAATAATACAAAATAATGTTCTTTATTAATAATGGAAAATCACAATGTTATATAAATCAGCTTAAGTAAGAAGGGCAAATCAGAGGGGGAAACTAATATATATATTTTAATATTGGGAAGGGGAAGCATCTAAATCAGGGGTGTCAAACTCAATTTCATTGAGGGCTGCATCAGCATTGCGGTTGGCTTTGGGGGGCCGGGTGGGTGTGGCCAGGGTGGGTGCAGCCTACTGGGTGGGCGTGGATGGAGTGGATGTGGCCCACTGGGTATGGCCAGCTCTACATTGTTCGCATCAAGGGTGCCTGTGGGGGCCTGGGCAGGAGTGGGACAGATCTGAGGGTCTCTGGCAGAAGGGGGTGGGACCGGGGCAAGTGCCAATGCATGGTCCATTTCTTCATTCCTCACAAAGGGTGACACCTCCCCAGCATGTACCCAGGGGGCGGGGCCGACACGGCAGGGACTGGTTCCTCGCTGTTTCTAGACGGCCTTGTGGAGCTAAGACTGAATGTGTTTCAGCATAGATGGCCACCACAAAATTGTACATTGGCTCCCGGTAGGCCTGGGCCAGGGCCAAGGCAGTGGGGGCCGTTCCCTCACAGTTTCCAGGATGGCTTCACGGGCCACATGAAACCACTTCGCAGGCTGCATCCGGCCCCCAGGCCTTGTGTTTGACATGTCTGATCTAAATAAAGATACAGTTATAAAACAAAATAATACCCACTCACTGGAACCAAACAAAATAAATCAAAGTTTGTGTGTGTGTGCGCGCGCACACGCACGCACGTGTGTGCATTGCTCACATGTGGATATGCAAAGGGGGGGAAGGGAGCCTCTTCAAAAACTCAGAACAAGTTGTTGCTTTCGCTCCGCAAGTAATAATCACAATAAACTGCAATGTTGCTGCATGATTGTATTTTCACTGTACACATATGCATCATTGTGTAGACATATAGGCAACCCATATAAACTCATCAGGCTGTTCTCGGTCACATTTGGCTGACACGCTCCCAGATATATTAGATGCAGTTTCTGCACTATTGGAAATAAAGAGGATGCTGCTTGCTAGCATTTGTCTAACCTCCCACCAGTATCTTTTTAAATAAAGAGAACTGTATTAAATCAGAATGAGCCAAGTGCATTTGTGCAAATAGTGATATGGGAATCCTAAATCTAGGGCATGAAAATTATTCTCTGATTGAAAAAAAATGCTTTCAAATACAGCAAATATTCGGTGTAACCAAAGGACGTTCCATAGCGAGTTTAGTTGTCTTTTCCAAAGCTGTGATTTCAAACTCTTCCTCTAATTTTTATTTTTATTTTTTTTTGCTTTAAAGGCATTCATTCAGCTCCAGTGGAAAATGATGATCATACTGGAGAAATGGTGAGTAGAAAAATTCTCATTTGTTTAAAAAGTGAGATTTATTAGGTCACTTTTGTAGGAGGCGGAGTGGCAGGGCCTGGGGGAAGAGTTAAGAAAGGGATCAGCCTAGAATTGTTGCATTCCCACAAGCAGTCTAAATTCAACCCCTCTTGAATTACAGTTGACCAGATTCTTGTGAATAGGCATGAGCAATAAATTACCTTAACTGGAACTTAACATGTGGTCCTGATATTTGCATCTGACACTTTCACAGATGATCAGAAATTCTTGCATGCTCTAGAGCAGTGGTTTTCAACCTGTGGGTTGGGACCCCATTTGGGTCGAACGACCATTTCACGTGGGTCGCCAAACAACTCAATCCGCCATTTTTTCCCTTTTCCTTAGTTGTGCTACTCCCTTTTATTCTATTGGCTTTTGAAAGCCAATAGAATAGACTCTCTTGAATAGAGTCTAATTCTATTGGCTTTCAAAAGCCAATAAGAATTGTCCAAGCTGTCTCTGCCCTGCTGAGCCCACCAAAAGTCCCATTCTGCAAACAGTGTTGCACCAGTTGAGTAGTCCTCGACTTACGACCGGTTGGGTAGTTCTTGACTTACGACCGGTTGGGGGTCGCGGCATTAAAAAGGTTGAGAACTACTGCTCTAGAGACATACAAAGTGCCTTACACGTAGGCACGACCATGTTTTAATGGATGACAACTCCTTTATTTGGAGGAAGGACCTTTCAGGACAGTTTAGCAAGGGACAGGGTCAGGAGTCTCTTGTGAGCAAGATAATTTAATGAACCTAGTGGCCTCCTCTTCTCTCATGATTGTTTTGGATAAATCCATGCATTTTTTTTCCTGGTTTGTGCCCAATTCAACAATTCCACAAGGATGTTCAAACCAGGGAAATTTTCAGCCTCTTCCCATATTTCTGTTATCTTCTAGGAGTCAAGAGATTTTTAAAATATTAAAAACAGGAACACAAAATGTTTACATTGAGGCTCCTTAAATCTAACTGAAGTCATGGGAATTCCAGCTTACCATGTCTCATTACATAGTATTTCATAGCGAGTGCAAATCATGGTATCTTATCATAGAAGCCTTCCATAAGTGGCCCGGAATTAACAGCCATATCTTATGATATAAAAACAACTGGATTTGTGCAGTACTTCATAGTACAATGCAGGATATCCAACTGGTGTTTATATAATTTTTTGTCTTCTCAAAAAAGCAGGACTACCACATCTTTCTTAGTAGATGTGGAGGAGATCAGTGCAGGAAGAAGATGGGGTAATGAGGAGTGCAGAAAATGTTGATGGTCAGCTGGCTGCACAGCTCCTGTACTTTGACCCAAAATTCAACAGCATGATTCTATGGGCATTGGAAACCACAAAAATAGGGCTGAAGTTTCCATGTGGGGCTGGAGGGCCTTTGAAATAAGTAAAGCATATGAAGAAAAAACTCATTTTCTTTGATGTCACATGCTTTGGAAATCTAGTGGCCTAAATTTTTGGATTTCCTCCTCCAGCTTATATCATGATGGTAAAAATAAAGATGCTATTATTTAGATGGATATTTTTTTTTATTTTTTGAGCAACTATTAAATAACTTAGAAATTTAGTTTCCTTTGCTTCAGAATTACTTACTCACTTGGAATCTTCCAATCATAAATTTGTTTTCCATGTTTATGATTTTATTCAGCTTGAATATTTGGTTGAAATAGAATATTTCAATTTTAAATGAATCATCTTCCTTTGTTGCTTTTGATCCAGATAACCCGATGTATTATAGAAGTCCTTTTGAACAGTTTATCAAAAGACAATTCTCCGCTTATTAATCCACAGTGCAAGGAGCTTCTGAAAAAAGGTAAGTGCATATCTTAAAAGTAACATACTTTCCACGACCAGATTTTACGCTAGTTGAATATATATATACCATTACTACTAGAGATTGCTGAGAACTGTAGTTCAGCAATATCTGAAGAACTATATTCCAAGTTCCCAGCAGAGATGGAATCGACAGTGACTTACAAATCCACTGTCTTTTGTATTTATGTATTTATTAAATTTATCTGACTGCCTGAAGTGGACTCTAATAGATATGGCACTACGTATAGAGCAGGGCTGTCAAACTCACAACGTCACGTGACGTGTCGCGACATATCGTTACTTTTTTTCCATTGCCGGCAATGGGGTGGGCACGGTTTCGCCATGACGCATCTGTAGGCCGGTAGTTTGACACCCCAAATATAGGCCTCTAGATGATGGAAACTGTAACATATCAATTCTGTGAAATCTGGTAGGACAAGACCAATAATTGAAAACTGGCTCATTGAAGAGTACAAGTGTTAATGCAAATAGCAATGTTAGTACTAATATTTAGAAAGCTGACAACAGTTAATTGGTTCCAAGTACAGTTACTGATTGTGAGTCCACATGCACTCTGGTAAATGGAATATACCACACAAGAGACACATATCTGAATAGAAAAGAATATCTAAAATTGGGATTTCTTTGGGCTGGAGATCCACTTGCCTCAACCTCTTAATGCTTGCTCAGGAAGCGTGGGCTAAGAAGTGTTTATATTATTTTTATAATATATTAATATTATTATATTAACATATTATGACATGGAGTACATAAAACAGTATCATTCATTCATTCAATTTCTATATCCAGCCATCTCACTCAATGACTCTGGATGACTTACAACTCAAAAATATATTACAATTAAGGCACTAAAATGTTTTTAAAGCAATAAAAAAACTATAAAAGCATCCAAAAGAAATATACACAGCAGCCGAGATACTTAGCCAGTTAGAAATATAGCCAGGAAATGGGGCCCTTGATACATTCAACATCCCAGGCTTGGAAACATTTTAAATGACTTAGTTTTAAAAGGGGAAATGAATAGGCAAACACACATACAATCATAATAATAACCTTATTCATCAAAAATATGGACTCCCATGTCCTACGGTCAAGGGCAAGCTAAAGTGGCAAATTTACCTAGGCTTCTTCTTGACAGATAAACATTTATAGGCAAGAACCCTTGTAATGGGGGCAAGCTCTTAAAAGAATAAATAGTCCTCCATGTGCATTTTCTGAGATTTTTTTTCTAGTCAGGTTAAATATTCGTATCCATTCAGACTGTAAACACAGATTCAAAAAAAATGCTGGTTTCTAACCATACTGTCCATAGAAGAGCCCCTTTTGCTTCTTTGCTGCAGCATGATGGAATGGCTGTTACCAGGTGAGAGTTGAGGGAATGTTGGAGGAATAGTGAGCAAGTGATGAAGTCATCACTGACCATTGTGAGGTATGCACAAGGTAATAATGGTACAAAGAAAATATTCCATGGTTGTTGATTCTCTTTGGGAGGTCCTGAAGAGAAAGTGAAAGTGGAAGAAAATCAGGGACAGAAGAATAGAATAGAACAGAACAGCTGGAAGGGACCTTGGAGGTCTTCTAGTCCAGCCTCCTGTTCAAGCAGGAGAACCTATACCATCTCAGACAAGTGACTGTCTAGTCTCTTCTTCTTTTTTTATTATTATTATAAATTTTTACAATTTTACAATAAAGACCCCTTTCCCAATCCCTCCCAACCCACCCCAAAACCCTCCCTCATTCTTCCCAGAGCTTAATACAGGGTTAACTAGAACTTAAAAGAAAAAACTTTTAAACTCAAATAAATCTCAAACAAATATGATTACATTCAATAAACGAATTGTTAAGTACTTTATTATTTAGAAGTGTAGAATAGTTTTGTTTTGTTTTTATTATTTTTCTTATTTTCTTTCTTTTCTTCTTTTTCTCTTTCTGTTTTTTATATATAATGTCTAGTCTCTTCTTAAAAATTTCCAGTGATGGAGCACACACGATTTCTGGAGGCAAGCTGTTCCACTGGTTAATTGTCCTCACTGTCAAGAAGTTTCTCCTTAATTCCAGGTTGCTTCTCTCTTTGATCACTTTCCAACCATTGTTTCTTGTCCAGCCCTCTGGTGCTTTGGTGAATAATGTGATCCCATCTTCTTTGTGGCAGTCCTTCAAATACTGGAACACTGCTATCATGTCTCCCCTATTTCTTCTTTTCTTTAGGCTAGCCAGACCCAAGTCCTGTAGCTGTTCTTCGTATGTTTTAGTCTCCAGGCCTTTGATCATCTTAGTTGCTTTTCTCTGATTTTTTTTTCCAGACTCTCAACATCTTTTTTGTGATATGGCGACCAAAATTGGCTGCAGTATTCCAGGTGTGGTCTTACTAGGGTAAGACCAGGTAGTCCATAATGAAAATGAAAATACAATGGTATTATAATAAGGAATCCACAGCATATTTTGTTTTGTTGCAGGTGAACAACAACAAAAAGAGAAAAATATACAGCAAGGCATGGAACTTGGCGCAAGAACTTTATCTGAATCAGAAGAATTAAGAAAGCAGTCAGAAGGGACTGTGAAGGAACAACAAGATGTGAGTGAAGAAGAGTTTAAGAGACAGGCAGGAGGAGATGCTAAGTGGCATCAGGAAACGAAGAAATATGGGGGAAGCCCTAAAGAAGAAGAAAAGAATGAGAATGAAAAAGAAGCTGAGGAAGATAGTTATAAAAGAAATCATCACAATGGCGATGGAGGCAAAGAAAAGAAAGTCAGTAAAGAAGTAGAATCTGAGCCTCTAGAGAAAAAGTCAGTTCTTACATCTGGAAAAATGGATGAGGATGATTACAAGCATTCCCATGGCCAAAAGTATGTGGAAGAAATAATTCAGAGTCAAGAAAGGGAAAATGAAGACAATGAGGAGGAGGAGGAAGAGGAAGAAGAGGAAGAGGAGAGTAATGAAAAGTATCATCATAGTTTTCATGAAGAATTTGAAGATTCTTCAGAGAAGGATGGTGGTGAAACAAAGAAGCAAGGCCACAAATCAGGACATTACCGAAGAAAACCAAGATTGGGTAAGTCCTCTGAATACAACAGCCATCATATTGGTGAAAAAAGGGGCTCATCTGAAGAGCCTAGTGAGGAAGAAAGTGAATTTTGGGCTAAAAGGAGTCATCACCCCAACCATTATGAGAGAGAACATTACTTTGTGGAACCAAGAAATGCTGTTGAAATGCATAGGTCCGAGGCAATGGAGAGAGAGAGCAGAAACAAAGGATATTGGGATCCCAGCCAAGAGGACAGTGATGAAGACATGAAGCATCACAGTGAAGAAAATGAAAGGAAACAGTATCAGTATATGAGGAAAAGACTTTTTGATGGACCATCAAGGGAGATCAGACATCACCACGAAGTAAGAGTCCCTTACAGCAAAGCAAGGCAGGAAAATGGAGGTACGAAACAAAGCCATGATAGCTTAGATGAGAAGCGGCACCATGACCAACCAAATGTACAGCTAGAGATGGCAAAACCACAAAACAAGGAGAGAGAAGATGGAGAGCAACGACTCAACAGCCAAGAAGCCAGAGAAGAAAAGCACTATCCTAATAATGATGGAGAGCTAGAAACTCCACACTACAGTGAGAGAGGAAAACACTTTGATAATAAAAGAACTCTTCTGCTAGAGGAGGGCTACCCAAGAAGCCACTATCTTGTAGAAAATGTAAAAAGAGCTTTAAATCCATATTATTACCAACAGCCCAGGTGGAAAAGCAGATCTGTGGACAAGAACGCTGACATCATCAACCCACTGTTGGAGAGTGAAGAAGAACGCAAGTCCCACTTGAATAAGAGGGAATTCTTTCCTGAATATAATGATTATGATTTGTGGGAGAAGAAGCAGGTCCTGGATAGCTTAAACCCCAAACAGGACAACAGTAACAATCCTGAAAGGCTATACAAACCTGAGATAAAAAGGCAGTATGATAGAATGGATGAGTTGGCCCATCTTCTGAGCTACCGGAAGAAATCGGCAGAATTTCCAGAACTGTACAACTCAAAAGAAGACATTGAAAGGGGACACGTAATAAGAAGTGGCAAGGACAAATTTCACCAGAGGCCTCTGACACCAGAAGAGGTATTTATTTTATGATTTCTAAGAAAGCTAGAACAATTCTTTCCTAAAAAAGTCTTTTATTTCAGCAAAATAATACGGTATCCGACTAGGTGAAACATGATAATACATTAGGGTTATATTCTCAGTATCTTGCTGATAACTTTATATGTGATCAAAAAGTATGAAGTCCTGTTGATTCAGGCTTCATATAGTATTCAAATCATCTACAGGACCCTCAATGTGTCCCAGTTAATAGTCTGGCTTTCACTTAGCTTTCTCTGTCTCTAGATATCATTTACATTTGTACTTCACTGGAATGATGTAACCTGAAGTTGTTTTATAATTACCCCATTGAAATTGTCAGCTAAACTGGATCTTAAGAGGAGGGAAGAAAAATCCTTGAGTGTTAAAAATATCTCAAAAGCTGTCAATCAAGGACTAAATGTTCTGATTTATTTAGTGTAGACCGTGTTAGACTCCATTTAACTTATTTGAAATGAATATATCCAGGATTGTACAATCTACTTAATCCCTGTTTAAATCAACTTCTTTTGTCATGGCATGGCAAAGCACAGGCCAGATAGTTAAGGCAAGAACAGGTGACCATTTTTCTGCAAAGAACTTTCTTCTGGGGATAATCTGTAACAATCTTTTTAGTTATAGACCAAGCTAGAGTAAAACCTTAATTCTGGTTTCATTTCTTACAAAATACCTGAACAAAATGTGATTAAGCTCCAGGAAGTTTTTTTTTTTTAAAAAAAAAAAAATCAAAGTCTTTCAGATTATAAACAACTAGGCTCATTCTTCTTGCTTTAAATTGATCTTGTTAAAATAGCTGCATTTCTGGACTATCTACTGCTAAGTCAGGCAAGTGTTTTATGTTCCCCAGTCTTCAAGCACTGCTTTTAAGGCATTCACCAAACTTTTACTGTAATATGGACGAGGACTAACCAAAATGCAGAATAGGGAATACAGTACTTTGACCCAGGCCAGTCAACTAAGGTTTTACTCAGCAAGATACATCTGCGTACACACATACATACAGGCTTAGCTACATGACACCCAACACTACATCATCATAATAGCAACCTGTTTAAAATTTAGTAATCAAATTTTCATTTTAAATCTGTTGTTCTGTTCTATTAATGTGTTCATTTTAATTCTGGGCTGCAGGCCTCATTTCCTACCATACTTCCTAGAAATAGTCAGATTTCTATGTCTTCAGGAATGACACATCCTCACTTTCAATATTACACAACGTGGTATATCATGTCTCACTGAAATAACTGAAGAAGCAAGTGTGCATGGAGTGACATAACTGCCATACTATAAGCTCATGTTCTGGAAAAACTATCCCACCACATAACTTGACAAATGATCAGTGCCAAATATTCTTAACACTATGTGGATGCAGAGAAGAATTAAAAATCTGAAGAAAAGCATGAAGATGACTTTTGATCCTTTTTGCAAAACATAAACATTTGACACTTACAAACTGATTCCTAGAGAAACTGCAGGTCCCTATAAATACTAAGCCAAATTAAAAAAAAAAATGAGTTACTACAGAACACAAGCATGACACAGGTTAACATCACATGGTTGATCTCCATGTCTAGGAATCATCACTATGCTTTGATGGAAAGTAAGATTAATTTCATCGTGCTCTCCTTACGGAAACGGATCACATGAATCACAAAAATAGAACACATGAGTATTTAGAAGCTCTCCCCTAATTTTCCTTTCTCAGTTTTCCTGAATAAAGTTTGGGACGTGGTTTCTGAGAAACGAAGATTTTCATGCAGAAAGTGGACCCTGAGTATATACTACTTGCATAATGGAGATAATCTGGTTTAAAGTAAAAAAATAATAATCTATGAGATTATGCATTTACAAAATTTAATTTTATTGCAATAAAATCACATTTTAAAGTATTTTGCAAATGCTACATAGATAATTAAAATCTAGTAAGATAGAATGTTTAATTTTATAGGATCTTGAGTACCTTTTTCCAGATCAATTTCTTGACTGTTGTGAAAGGAGCTCCCGGATGTCCCCACACATGTGTGCGTACATAGCCATGTTGCTCACTTTATACAGCCTTAATAGGAAAGGCTATTGGAAGAACCAGGAAAAGTAACCAGGGCTACATTAGAGTTAAAAATCTAAACATAATATTTGCATATGAGCCATGATCAAATCTAATTAAATCTACATCAAATAAGATCACTAAGCAGTACAATTGCATGAATTTCTAACAGTCAAATTCTCAGAATAAAAAGTGATCTATGCCTTTAAGGTCATAAACTACATGGATTTTTTTCCCATTATCACAGGAGAAAGAACTGGAAAACCTGGCTGCTATGGATTTGGAACTGCAGAAGATTGCTGAAAAGTTCAACAATAATCAGAGAGGATAAATTTTATTTGACGTAATGTGGTATGGTGAAGAGTAGCTTTATTTAAAGTATCCCATATTTATTAGTAAAGTCACTGCCTCAAATGTTGTTCTTCTCCCTAATTAGAAATAGTTTAACCTTTAAATATATACTTTATACCAGTACAAAGCATCCTTCTGTTCTAAAAGATTTGTTCAGATCAGCATGAATTTTTGCCTTCTGAATTTTGAAATGTATGAGGATAATTTGTGTGTGCGTTCTTCAGAAATATATTATCTCAGTAGAAAATAATAAACTTTACATTGTCTATATAGTTAACTGCACGTGCTCCTACATAGCTTGTTTATGATTTACGCAGTTAGATTCATCAGAGGAGACACAGTAACATACTTATAAGTCTATATTGGAACTAATTTTTTGTTCCTTATAAAATTAGTATATTCAATAGTACCTTAAAATCAACTTTGGGAGGCTGACAACACCAAAATAGATGCACCATCTATTCCTATATTGTTATAAGACAAATTGAAGTCTCACAGCTTATGAAAAAGATACACTGACTGCAGCTCTCTCATAAAAGCATTGAATGTGGTTTTTAAACTATCCCCAAAATTTCTATGGAACTGTATTTTTAAAGTCATTGATACATAAGTGTTTAGCTACATAATTGCTGTCTTCAGTTATTTATAAATATAAAATAGGTGGGCTTAAAAGAAACTAAAATAAATGTTCACAGCATTTACAGTAATTAATTTTAATTTCATATGCATTTAATTTTTATTTATACAATCATCAACTTTATTTTGGGCTCACCCACTTTTGGCAATATGGTCCTCACCACACTACTCAAGCGATATAAACATTAGATACATCCAAGTTTTAAAACAAAATGGAATCTTAACCATCTGGTAGTATCAGAATATCTGAAGGAATTATGGTAGTGAGGTATTCAACAGAATAAAGTTTCCGCTATTCATCATATTCTGATGCTGAAGAATTTCTCAGAACTTCCAACTTTTTATTTTATAGCAGTTAATTCCAGTAGCAGATTGTTTTTATTAGTTTTGATAATAGGCCTGGAAAATGCTATGAATGCTTTATATGAAAGTGAGCAGGTTTTGTTATTCTCCAAAAACACCAGTAGTATCAATGATTTTTTATTAGAAAAAAAAACCTGTACTGCACTGATTGCAACTTAAGATTTCAGGACTAAGGCCTGCTAGCCAAAGGCATTCTGGCCTCAAAATACCAAACCAAATATCACACAAATATCTAACGTATTAAACATTTAATTAAAAAGTTAAATGAGTATATATTTTCATAGATCATTTATTATCACTAGCATTCTCTATTCTTGATTCCCTGATTGCCACCTACTGTATGTTGGAAATATTGCTTCGCCTCATGAGCATAAATGAGTGGTCTTTCTGCTTTTTTAAGGCCAAACTGGTTGGGGAATCAATTCCAAGTGATTTTTTCCCCTACCCTTAATTCAAATGAGAAAGATTAAAATCTTTCTGAGAAAGTAGGCTAATAACCTGGATTCACTGGATATTTTCCAAAGGAATGAGTGTCTCAAAGTTGATTTTGCACCTGCAGTGTATATGTGAACTGTGCCTTTGTTGCATTGATAGACTGCCTTTTCCCTAGATCAGTGAAGTGCATGGGGGAACAACTCCCCAATAAAGTAACAACAGTTTCAGGTTTTATGGGCTATGCTACACGTGACTCTCACAGGAGCTTAGCTAGTCAATGCTTACATGTTTAGTGAAACTGATTAGACAAAATTGTTCAGGGGCCAGAACGATTTTCACAACTGAGCAACAAATAAACATATATTTTGATGTTTGGGCCCCAAGTTTCAGGTGTTAGATTACATTATAGATTTCACTGTTATTAAAATTAGAATGCCACAGGGTTTTAAACTGTTCCATTCTGCTGAAATGCTTTTAAGTTAGCTAACATCATACATGGGATACTATTAGTCTGGCTACTAAAAATATTTGCATAAGGCTTGAGGCACTTACCTATGTCAACCAATGAGATGAAAGCTTTTGTTATGTTCCATCACGTCAATATCACCTTTTAATTTTCTCTATGACAATCTATCTCTTATCTGGTCTTACAAGTCTTCAGATGGTGCATTCATTGTCACTGTAACTGAGTCCATCCACCTTGCTGCTGGTCATCCTGTTCTTCTCTTTCCTTCCACCTTTCACAGCACTAGTCTTTTCCAGAGAGCTGGATCTTCACCAAATATGTCCAAGTACGATAAATTGTACCTTGTCATTTTGCCTTGAGCAACTCTAGGTTGATTTGTTTGATGACCCATTTGTTTGCTTTCTTGGCTGTCCATGGTATACTCAAAAGTCTTCTCCAACACCAATTTCAAGTATTTAAATTGCTTTGTAAAACAATTTACATATTTACCCAGCAAAACTTTTGATGTGGGTATAGAAAAAAAAAGCAAAACTCCAGAAGAAGATAACACATCACACACAAAGCATTCTTTGCTTTTTCAGCCTTGCTGTGATACATTCTAGTGACATAGTTGGTTATTACCAAGTTTCATGGCACAGTATTTTTACGGCCTACCCCCAGTCACTACTTTAACTACTTAAACAAACCAAGCTCTGCAGTGGATGCAATCATAATGCAGCCAAGTAGGGGCTAGATTTTGATTTATTTTCTAAGGATTTTTTTTATAGGGTTTATAGGAATTTTTGTGTCGGTATGAGTAATGAGTAATCCTCACCTTATAATGGCAATTGAGACTGAAATTGCTGTTGCAAAGTAACTTGTCATAAAGCATGGAGTCACATGACTGCATCACATGGTAACAGTAATTCCAGCAGTCCCAGATATTGTCATTAAGCAAGGAATTCATGTGACCACAACTTCCAACTTCCTGCCAGCTTTCCCACTGATATTTTTGTCGGATACTGGCAGGGAACCCCAGAATTCAGGCTCACATGATTGCAGCTCACTGCAATGTCATAATTGTGAGCTGAGTGCTAAGCACCCAGAATGTAATCATGCAACTGTGGGACCGCTGTGATGCCAGACTTCCAAGGACCAGTTGTAAGTACCGCTCATTCAGCCCCATTGTAACAAAACACTGCCCAGTCTTCCTCTACAAGGGATTGTTTATTTATTTATTTATTTACCAGATTCATAAGGCTGCTCAAACAATGTGATTCCAGGCAGTGTTCGATAACAAAAAAAAAAAAGAACCATGTAATATTAAAACGTACATGATATATTGTTATAAATATGAAATACAGAATATAAGTTGGTAATGAAGTACCATAATAGAAACAGCTGAAGGGGAATCCCATTCAATGAATCCCAAATGCTAGTGGGGGAATGCCAACTCTTAAAGTTGATGGTTGATTAACTTTTTAAATTAAAAACAAAGGATTGCTCTATGATCTGGATTCAAAGGGGAAAAAGTGATTTAGAGCAGGTGTACGGAAGGATTACCACACTGGTCTGCAGTACTTCAATCAAACCAATCAATTTCAAGAATCTCTTTTTATATCTCTTTAAAATGGATCTGTCTCTTTTTTCTTTATTAGATGCTTTATACCTTAACTTTCTATCCCTGAGCCATTCAAGACAGCTTATAAAAGCAATGTATAGATGCTAAGAACTGAAGAAATAAATCAAGTTGCAAAAGCAGCAACTGATCCATAATCAAAACTGAAAGATATGATCAATGTTCTAAATCTTGTGACTCCCCAGAGTGTTTCAAGAATTTAGTGACCCCTACTGACATACATATCTGGCTAAATGTTGTTTCAATTTGGGTGAATGGGGGTCAATTCACAAATACAAGACAATGCAGAGCCCAGCACAATGGTAGGTGAACTTTGGGGGACAACAAGCACATTGGGAAACACAACAGTTTGGTTGCCATCCAGAAGGCTTCTTATTTTAACAATCCTTTCCTGCTTAAAAGAAAAAAACAATTCATGTACTACAAAATAATATAATTTATTGAAATGCAGATTTACAGATTAAAAACTCCACATAAAAAGTTATCACATGTTAAAAAGATGGAAACCAGTTTTTCTTTTCTTTTTTAAGAAATGTTAAGTGAAAACAGACTAGCACTACTTTCACATTTCTGAAGTAATATGTGATGTTTACTTTTTTTGAAATTCAGAATGGTTAAAATGTGCAATAGTCTAGCATCAGTCTTGCCTCTCTCACTGATAATAGTACAATTATTTCACTTAGTTTAAAAAAAAAACCTCCTTGATTTTAACAGAAATGGAAATGGGATTAATGAGAACATGGTTTTTGAATTGAAAATAAAATTCTGAAACACAACCAAGTTGGGCTTTCAGTCAATTTTTGCAACATTTCCAGGAAGACCGATTCTTAATCATAACCTTCTAAAATAAAACTCCATTATGTTATGGCGACTACCTGAGTCTGGAATGACATTGGCAATAAAAATATTTGGCTGAATCTGACCGATTTAGAAAAGAACAAAGTGCATTCCGCTGTGCCTTTAAGTACAATTAATAATAGAACACAAGAATAATTTCTTGAAGCATTAATGGTGCTCTTGAAGCTTACGCTTTTTAGAAGATGGCTCGTCTAAGCAGTCACTGGTATTTATGCTTTCATTTTTAACCGTGATACCTGTCAGTAGGTACCCACCACCACCACTCATTATCAATTTGGGATGACTTCGATCTGGCAAGATCTGAACAAAAAATAAGAAATGGCAAATAAGCTATGTAACAATTGCAGTACTAAATAGCACGTTCTGTGAGGCTCATGGATCAGAGAGCAATAAAAGATTTCCAGAGGACGCATATTAGACAAAAAGTGTGAAAATCAGACCCTCAATGCCACTTAGATTTGCCTTGCAGAAATTTCAGAAAAATAAATTCTTACCATTATTTGGCATTGATCAGTTATGATCAATAATATCAAATTGAACGATTGAATATTTTTATTAGATTATTGATCAGAATTGAAACAAAAATACATTAACAATACATGATAAAATATTACAGTTAGTGGCAGTTGTGTGGATAATCAAAGAGAATACATAATATGAAATTACTTTGCATAGACTCAACAATGATTTATTTTCTATTCCCCCCCCACCCCATTTCATAATTTCAAATATCCATTTGACCAGAGATGCATAATTTCCCTGATTTACTTGCATTTTCTATCGTACATATATGTTTGTAATTCTCACCTGATAGTTTCGTAGCCATGTTTCAGAAAGTTTCAGATTAATGACACCACCTTTCTCTCTCAGTTTTGCGTAACATTCCAGTAGTGGCTAAAACAAGAAAATCTGGTTATATGAGCTTACTGAAATTTTTTAAAAAAAGATTTAAGTTAAGAAAATACATTGGGTTCACCTCTTTATATTGACAGTAGACAACAAAAGGCCTTGAAGGAGCTACCAGCTCTAATAAGAGAAGCAATAAACTTGCTGGATGAAATCGACTGGCAACAATTAAACTGTTAATGGAAAGATAGACACAGGTTAGCTGCATTTCCAAACATCAAAGCTGTTACTTTTTTGGCTATGAAAATGTATCTAAAAGTCTGGCAACGTTTATTTTGTTCCACATTTGTACACAGATATAAAAACAGTCTGAATCCCAGATTAAATCTAAAAAAAGGAAAAGACTGCAAGTTACGGTGATGTAAAACCAGGTGGTTTGCCAAAATTTGAAGAAATGTTCTGCCCACATTAAGGAGGGCCACATTAGAGAGGCTTTGTCAGATACAGATTAGGAACAAAAAACTTTCATAAATTTCCTCAACTTAAGATCTGAACCATCTTTTAACACCTTGGTTATTTTCCTTATATATAAGGGCTTTTATCTTTAATCCTACAGACAGGTTGAGCCATTCATCACAGCTGATGTAGGGACAAATCCTCTCCATCATAGGAATGGCATAGGTTGTTTTCATCCTTTCAGTGTTGAAAATATTTTGACCATTATAGCATCTTTCGATCTAATACAGAAATTTAACAATCTAATGAAAAAACAAAAACCCAGAAAGGGCTGAGCCTTGGCTCTAGGCTTCAAGATAAATAGACAAGCATTCTTTTATTCCCAAATTACGAACACTAACATCCAGTTACATTTTTTGAATGGCAAATTCTTTTTTGAAAGCAATTATAAAACAAGATATTTCTGGACGTGTTCAATACAACAACCGAACTCTCACCCATCAGCATCCTTGTTTTTCAACAAAGCAGCAGCTTCTATCAGCTTTCTCTTCTTTTCCTCTTGTTTCTTTTGTTTGTCATGTGTCTGAAAATATGAATAAATTCAGGCTAAATGGTTTTAAGGACTAAAGAGGTTCTAAAAACCTTTATTTCTGTAATATTTTGCAAAAATACACACATTTATAGGCTGGTTTAGACTTAACTTTCTAATGCCTTCCTCAGATTTAAAGGTCTATTTGAAAGATAAAAATAGAATGGTTAAAAATGACAAAATGTATTCTAGTGCTTCAACCTGAAATACTTTAAATGATTAAATATTTTGCTAAACAAGTACTTGTGTTAAACATTGCAATAAAGTCAATTATCTAACATTCTAATTCTAACTTTACTTACATTGCTATATATCAGCTTTAGAGCCCGAAATATTTTAACTTATAGCTGACTTAACGTGAACAGAAATCACAATTACTCTAAAAATATTTCACAATGGATAAAATTACTCTGGTGCTATGACTATATTTAGCAATGCAGAGTACATTGCACTTATTCACATTTCTAATTATTATTAAATCTGATTTCTATCAAAAGATCTTACAATTAACATATAATGCAGCTAAGCATAACAGAGTAAGCATTCATGTAATAACTGATGCTGCAGTGTGACTCTCTGCGTTGAGAAGCATACCTGTTTAAATAGCAATGGGTTCAATTATATAATTAAATTTCAACTATCATAAAATGACAGGATCTTACTGTCCCCTTGGCTTTATCATCAAGTGCCTCCGATGTAAATTCCACCATTTCTTGATCTTCAGGCTGACCGCTCTCCATAGCTACCTTAGGACTGCATTCTATGTCTACTTCTGGTCTAGAAAGTTCCTTGTCATCCCCTGAACCATTTTTGTCTTCTGCCAGTGGTGTGTTCTCTTCAGACTCTGAAGGCAACGATGTTAAAGAAAATGTTCCAGAGAGAAAGCTGGCCACTTTGCTGAGGGGGAACTCAGAGAGTGTGTCAAAAAAGGTTTTAGGAAATCCAAAACAACTTGTGGCTGCTCTAACAGGTCCTTCTCCTGGATATATCTGAACAATCGATCCATAACCTGCAAGTATAGATCAAAGTAAAATACAGCCAGCATAAAACTAGGTTTACACTAATACACTGTGACAATCTAAACAAACAATTTTCTCTTAAGTACAGCAGTGACTTGCATGAAAGAAAACAAAAGTCATCTCCAACGTTTAACATCATCGTAAAGAATGTTTTTCAAAACTGGCCACCTGACACACTCATCTGTGTAAGTAATGGATTCTTCACGTGATCCAAAAAATGTTGAGCTTTAGACAAGCATCTACAGGCTATTTCAGTTCAAATTACTATGGATAAGTGGAAGATTATTTGAATTTGTCCTGACCCACTTTCACAAACTTGGCCATTCAGTCGGGTGCTGCGTTTTTGTATTAGAGCATCTGCCTTCCATTGTTCCCTATGTTATCTATCAAAGGTGTTCTGAAACTCAGCTGAATTCCAAAATATTTGCAAAATGAAATGGGGCAAAATCAGTCAAGAGAAGCAAACAAAAAATTTCAGTTGACCTATCCAAGCAGCCATATTTTGACTAACTCTTCAAGCTAAATTCAATGAACACTTTTAACAAGTAATAACTATATTCACAGTAACAGAGATTTCCCTTTATCTGTTTACTTCTACATAAAACTTGAAAATAGTAGTCAGTCAAAAATAAATAAAGCAAGAGGACAAATCACAATTGTCTTTCCAAAAGCATCTTATTTCTCTACTTTTCTGACATCTTTATATTTTGTAATGAATGTTTTGCTTAAAAAGCTGCTTATCTTGATTAACTGTAAAAAAAATCCCAGTTTTAGAATCAAATGTACATGCTACCACAGAAATATTACTATTAAATGTTCACACTCCCAGTTGTACATGTTATATTCTGCTATTCTCACCTCCCATTCGTTCCATTACAGCTCCTAGCACCAGTCCTGCACAGGTTTCCATTACTATCATCTTGTTGCCAGCGTGAACATTTCCCCAAGTTAACATCTGGGCTAGAGTATCATACCGCAAATAGCTAGGGCATTTTGAAAAAACAAAAACAAAACTAGATTACCTTTGCTATTCAGTTAAAATACTTGAGTACAATAAATTTTATTAGAAATACCAGATTCCTAGTTCTAATTTATATCTTCAGCAAGTACAAATGCTGGCTGTAAAGATATAATGATATTTTATTAAACATTTATGTTGCCTAGCTCCCAATGATTCTGGGCAACTTGCAATGAGAAATTACAACACAATTAATAAAAGACAGTGTGTCCATTCCAGATGGAATAAAACAAAGGGTCTCATTCTCTCTCGCCAAAGACCTGGGTAGTATTGTAGATGGAAGCTGAAAAGTACTTTAACTCATTATTATACCTTCGGTTCCATCATAGTTTATGTAGCACTGATGAGAAAAAGATATCTGCAGAAATCTGCAGCTGAGGTTTTGCCTTCATCTACCAAAAGGAGAGATTTAAGGGGAAAAAATTCATGCAGGATATGACTAATACAAATTCTAGTCCAGTTGGTAGCCACCATCAAAATCTCCTATGTTTTTTTTAAAATACATACACAGAGAGATGATTGCAAACTACATTCTGTCAGGAAAAGATTCTCATGTTTTATAGACTGGTTGTATCAATTTGTAACTATTGATGTGAGGACATTTGTCCACTCATTTACTGCTAAATGTAATCCAACAGATTCCCCATATAAATGAAATACATTAAGCCTTACTTGATCTTTCCTGGTTCTCTTGCATAGTACATTGTTGACAGTATACGAGTAGATGGCTTTATGATGGTAATAACTGCCTCATATCTGTAAGCAAAGTAGTACAAATAAACAGTTTTAAAGCTACTTATGATTTGTGATTCACTGAACAATCTAAAATTCAACTTACTTCTTTTTCTTTTTTTTGATGTATTTATCTTGGGCAAATTCTGTTTTGTCTCTAAATGTGGTGCTATTCTCTATTAATTGTTGAACTATTTCCTTCAAAAAAAAAAAAAGATTGGTTAATCATTCTCTTCCCATAGTTATTTATAAAGCATTTAAATCAAAACAAAACACAAAAATCCCCAGTACATAAAACATGAGCATTCAAGTAATGTTTTTTTTTTTAATTTAGTAGGAAAGGTAGTTTGCTGCTGTGGTTAAAGTATCAAAATAGAAACCAGGAGACTGAGTTCTAATCCCACCTAAGGCATAAAGCCAGCTGGTTAATTTTGGAGCTGTCACACACTCTCACCCTCTGAGATGGCAACAGCAAGCAATTTCAGGGAGAGAAAAAAATGTGCCAGGAAAACTCAGGGACTTGTCCCAGGCAGTTGCCAGGAGTGAACAATTGACTTGAAGATGTGTGCATGCGCATACACATCTTATATATTTATAATATACCGTATATGCTGGCGTACAAGGCGACCCGGCGTATAAGACGACCGTCTTTGTCGCCGAGCCGCATTCCTAGAACGTCGTCTTATACGCTGGAAACTACCAGTATTTCCGGCATATAAGACGACCCCCGTCTTTGGCGCCGGTTTTAGCGCTTGCGGAAGTCGCCTTATACGCCGGCATATACGGTATATTTATTCTTAATGTAGTCATGCATTTACTAAATGTGAGGCTAACATTTAGCCCTAAAGAATTCAGAGAACTATGGACTTCCGGTTCTGGGTCGCGGCGTGTGCAGTCGTGCGCAGAGACTCCTCTCTTCGCTGGCTGCTTTCCCTCTGCCAATAGACCCTTAATCAGGTTGAAAAGTCGCCCTGGAGGGGCGACTACTGATGAGGAGGACTCTTGTCGGTCGTGGGGGGGGGGGAGGCGGCAGCTCCTTCCGCGGTCCGAGGCAGCTCCTCAGGGCCAATGGAGAAAAGATTGGCCAGTAACATGGCCGATCATTTAGGTGCACCAGCCAAAAGTCAAAAGAACACCTAAGCATTAAGAAACCACCGTGGATGATCCGGGTGAGACCTTCCCCCCTCTCTCTTTGCCCTAACTACTCTCCTGTTAAAAGCCTTCTGGAACTATTTCCCTGCTTTGAAAGAGCTGGCTTTGTCTATCTGGGAAAAAGAGCTTTAAAAAAAGAAAAGAAAAAAAAAGTTAACTTTTTATTGACTATTTTTATTTTTGGTCACTTTGGGGCCCTGGAAAAAGCCCTATCATAGAACTTTATTATTATATCTATTTCTTAAGCTAGAGAATATTGTTTTCCTATTTCTTGGATTTATTTTTTAAAGGGATAAATTTTTATTGTTTGAAAAAAAAAACCTTTATTGGAAGCCGGAAAAAGATTTCACAGCTTACTGAGGGCATCTTGTGGCAAAAACTATTACTGCAACTACATTTCCTCTTTGTTTTTTGAGGTTGGGTTTGACCTTCAAATGATGATAAAAGCAAAAAGATAAAAGATTTGAACAGCTGGGTGGTGAAGTTGCTTACTAGTAATTGTGGAGGTGGATTAAGTGCTGACTGTTTGTATGTGTTGACTGTTAGTAAATATAGCCTCCTCTAAAAAAATAAAAGACTATATCACCACTGAAATGGAAGAATTTCATCCACAGCTTGATTATGAACTTATATTAGAAGCAATTTTGGAAGCAACAGTATATATGACATCCTGAAGAAACATTAAAGATGACATCTCTGAACCACAAATTGAATCTCAAATCCTAATAGATCAATTTACAGGCCAAGGAACTAGCCCTAGGGAGGCCTGTATGCAGCAATATACACAACTTACAGAGACAGAGGAACAAGTCACTGAGCAAATGGATGTTAATCTACAATTTATGGAGAATTTTGGAGATCAAAGAACGACTCTGAGACACTTGCAGTGTTAAAGTAGCAGGAACTGACTCTCAGATACGAATTACTGAGAATAGTGACATCGTGGATAATCAACTTGTGACTATAACACGGAAACAAACCTTCTACACTATACAGATGATATTGGGAGAAGGGAAAGAGAACTTGGCCAGATTGAAATATTGATAAGTACCCTCACTCAAATATTGAGATTCAACAATATAGAAGCTCTATTATGGAAACCAGTCTGGCACAGAAAGAAAGCCAGAGTTAGATTTAAAACTTTTCTTGATAGGTAAATAAGGCTTTAGAGATCTTGATTGAATAAAGATTAATCAAATATGTGAGTAAGATGTTTTTTCTGTATGAATATGTTTGTTGTGGATATAATAATTATTTGGATCAGATTTAAACTTTATTGAGTGGGTTAAAAGAGTTTTTCATAGATATAGATTGATTGATAGATTACAGATTTAAAATAGAGTAGAAATACATTTTTTGGAGTACTTATTCTTAGGAAGGATAGCTATTTTGTAATGGAAGGAGAATAAGAGGGGTTTCTGATAAAAGAAGAAATGGTATTAATAAACGAGTTACTAGATTAAAAAATAGAATACTTGTAGAAAATGTAAGAATGTTATGGTTGAAATAATATGTGTATTTTAGAGATAAGGATTATGTTAAGGAAAAAGGGAAAGGAGGGACACCTGAAATGTTAATAATATGTTTATCTAAAAGCCAAATTGAAATAAGGTAATTGTAAATAGTAAAGCTTAAAAACAGGATTTGGATTTATACAGATGAAATGTTATTGATGATTGTTCTCTGATTGATTGAAGTTTATTGAAAAATACATTAATTTGAATATATTATATGATTTGAGGGAAATAGAGAGGGACTTTCTAATGATTTAATCTGAGTTATATATGTATGATTTTGTTTTTGGATGAGAGAACTATACATGAAAAGTAGTACCAATGTCTTGAATATAAATGAAATGGATGCTGCATTCCATTCATTATGATCATTTATGATACATATCATCCAGTCAAGAACCAGACAAGAGAAATAGAGTTGAGTTGTAAAGTTCATACTTTACATGAAATAGTCTAAGATTTAATACTTCAATTCTCTGAGACTTTTAGAAGAGTGGCTTGTATTTACCAGTAGTATAGAAAAGCAACTGCCCTTTTCTTTATATCTTGCTTTTTTTGGGGAACAAAAGGTAGCATAAATGGGGTTCTTGCCTAGTTTTATTGCAATGCTACTCTGATGCCAAATTGGGCTGAAAGCTATCAACTGGTCCAAAGTCATCCAGTGCTTTTTTGGGGGGTTGCTTCCTCAGTTTAAGTTTAAAATTTCAATCATTATATGACATCTGTTCACATTCTTCAGCTGAAAAGGATTCTAGTTGTAACTGTTCCTAGCAATATAGCTTTCTAAAAGAAAGTATTCACTTGTGAAGTGAAACAATAATATGCAATTGAGAATACAAGATTACCTGTCCTTTAATGCCTTTATCCTTCAAAGCCTTTATATCATCATGAGTCAGTTTTTGAGATTTTCCATCATCGATTATATTACGATTATCTGTACCTGCTTCTTTTGTTTCTAAATAAAACAAAGTTTTGTGAAATATTATTTAGAAAAAATAGTAAGCTTGTAAGAACTATTACTAAAGGTTTAAAAATATTTCAAATCATAGATGATTTCTAACTGGTACCATAATAATCTAGGAAACAAAACAGGAAACTAGGATGCCTTAAATCCTTTTACTTATTTATCAGGCAAAAGGAAGTGTTACTGTAACTTCTTTTCACTTGTGCTTCTGTTTTGTTTTGTTTTTTGTCAGATGAGATGACTTTTTAGAAAATTTCTTGATTAAATTTTTTTTTTATTAAAAGTTTTATAAATTTTACAAAAAAACAAAAACAATACAAAACAAAAAGCAACATATACAAAAAAGAAACTAAACATTACATATATATAAACCCCCCCCATCCCCCACCCCTCACAAAAACCCTCCCTACCCCCCCCGAGCTTCCCAGAGCAGAATATAGGCTTAATTAAAAATTAAGAGATAAAAATAAAAAATTAAATTAAAAAATTTATATTTATATATATATTAAAAAAAATATCTATCTATATATATATAAAAATAAAACTTATAAAAAAGCTATGTGATATTTTTGTATACCCAATCTAAATTGTATAAATTTTATCCATTTGTCCCAAACAGCAAGGAACTTCTCTTGCGTTTGTTGCTTTAAGAAAGCCGAAATCTTTGCCATTTCCGCCAGATAAGCTACTTTAAGAAACCATTGATTAAATTTAACATTTAAATGATGCTAGTATATTTCAGCTTGCCCATAATTTCTCACATAGGACCCTTGTAAGAATGGTTATCTCTTACATAAACCATAACATCACAGTGTTCCTAAAAGAATTATGCTTTGTTACTTTGTATTCTCAAACAATGGAAACTTTCTCAAGTAAATGCTATAAACCAGATCTTAACAAATAATGTAGCACTTCGGATATTATTTAGATATTGCCATTGTTTATTAATAATTTAGATGTTAAAACACACATTTAATGTTTTTAGTTCATAATTTTTGTTCTAGCTATCAAATATATCTGATCTAATTTTGAGTCTGAATCTACCTTTCTATTTGTTATATATCTCATAAAAAACTTTCTTTTAAAATTTTACATCACATTTTCATCAAGGATAAAAGAATGTTCCCTTGCACAGCCATGGCAATCTATAAGATAGCAAAGATTCTTATCAGAGTTTCATGCCATCAATGAAAGAACTTATTTCTTGTACAGATGTTGATAAAAATCTTTAACGCTGACCTAAAGACTGGCAGGTATTATTTTATTATTCATGAAATTTATTGGGTGCTTATCTTACCACAAGGTAAATCTGGGCAGTTTTATCACATAGACTAAAAGTTGCAACTAAAATACTTCCCTTGTTCCTCCTCCCCATATTGCACTTTGTTCAGGAAAAGTATCAGAATTACAGAAAAGCATCAGGATTATAATATCAAAGTACGCACATTCCATCTTCTGCTATCTAAATAATTTCTAGTGGACTCATACCTGGATTCATCTCTTCTAATGTCCGCTTTGGCTGAAGACTACCACCACTAGTCACTTCAAATGATGTTCCATAAACATGACCAATGGCATTATCTAAGCAGAACCACTGTTTTTCAAAAACAATTTTTCTAAAAACAAAAGCATTGATAAATCAGAAGCATAGAACCCAGCAATGTTCACAACCCAAAACCTGAAAAAGGAATAAAATGGCATACATCAAGGGTGTCAAATTCGCCATGTCACGTCACGTGACGTGTTGTGACATATCACAACTCTTTTTGCATTGCCAGCAATGGGGTGGGTGCAGCTCTGGTATGATGAAACCGGCCTGCGGGCCGGCAGTTTGACACCCCTGGCGTACATGAATTGCAGTATATTCAACTCCAGTTTCAAATGCAAGTAAGCTGAAATAACTAAAGCACTAAGAGGTGCAAGTAAATTAAAATCAGAAGAACATTTATCTTACTAGGCTTATATATCATTTTAATTGGATTGGCTCACAATCCAATCATACATCAATAGAATTAAAACCAATAGATTATTCCATAAAATAGAAACATTTTATAGAAATAGAACAGGAAGACGGGATGCCCAAAAAACCATTACAACTCATACAAAGGCATAACCTTCAATTTATCTCCAAGTTCAAGTGATATAATCTGGTATTAATTGCTCTTCTGAATCCCCAAAAGTTGGTACTTGTTAAAAGGGGGCAATGATTGAAAATGACTGCCTCTAAGAACCCTGCAATGGGATTTCTTTTAAGAGGGGAACTTGAATTGGCTCCACACGCTTCAATTTAACTGAGTAGCCACCTTTATATTCTAGCTGACAACTCCTTAGGGACTGGACCAGGTTAAAGTTCTTTCCCACTGTATTTGCTCTGAAATGAAATCAGAAACCAGATCTAATATGCAGCTTTCTGTACAATTTGCACCTGTAACTTGGGGAAAGACCGTAACTGTCATGATGGCTATGAATTCCTAAGTCACTTCTAACTCTCTCTCAAGGCAATAAGTTACAAGTCCCTCAGTACCCTCAGCTTGTGAAGCTCCACTGCTAAGAGAGAAATGAGGTTCGGTCTTCTCACAATTGAACAATGCTGCCTCTTTCTAGAAAATTGAAATTCCGACTAGAATAGCAATATTTCTTCTAACTAAAAACAGTTTTTTAACATAACACACTTCTTAAAACTATTTTCCAACTTCATTAATGTGAAAATCATCACATTATGCACAGGTTTGAAATCCTCTTGCATAAGGGAGAATGGAAAGGCCAGTTCCAGCAACGGACTGGAACTTCTTTCCCCGGAAAATCGGCCGAAATGAAACAGCTGCAGAAGATGAAGGTGCTTCCGCTTCACCCCCTAACAGGAGGCTTACCGTCGCTTCACTACGGCGACCGCTTTGAACACGTCCTCCCGCTTCAGAACAGCCCAGTCTCCCTCGCAGATGACATGGGGAGAAGAGGACCGCGGAGACGCCTCCATGGCGATCCTTCCACAGTCAAGGAAACTGACCGAACTCCACGCGGAAAAAGAAAAGGAAAAAAAAAGCAAAACCTCGCGCACAAGCGACAACTCAGGAAAGGCCCTCTTCCGGTTTCCCCCAAAAGCACGAGCCGCGGAAGCGACTTTGTTTCCTTTCTTCTGAAGAGCGATTGGTCTTGACTGCCATTTCGTCATAAAGGTCGAGGGATAGAGAGGCGCTGAGCGCCCTGGTGATCGTGAGGGGAGCCACAGTGGTTACGTGAAAAGGAGTCCGATGAGCGTTAAAAACAACAACAACGGGCAACTGCAATCAACCGGCAAGCAACTCTCTTGTGCGCTGAGGGATTTCTTTCGTAAGGTTGTAGAGCCGCTCTATAATTTGACGTCTCTGTGTAGACACCCTTTTCTAGTTTACAACATAGAGGTAAAAAAAAGAGATGATTACTAATTTAACTTAGGAGCTGGAGCTTCCGGGCTCATTTTGTACAACTCTCTCCACTCTCCTCCGTTTCGGGCCGGACGTGTAGGAGTTGGTGTTATAACGCTGGTATGGCACATAATTGGTTCATGTGCATAATGTTCTTTGCGAGATCCTGAGACACGAATATTTGCCTCCATTCGTAAAATGTTCTTTTTAAAATAAAGTGTTTCATCACAGTGATACCACGGACGAAAGATGCGTTCATACAGATATTTTAACAGCATACGCCCTCGAATCTGATCATTCATTTGCTCCATTCAAAAGGCAGCTTCCAACTCTAGGAGAGGCTTAACTTGCTAGGAGGCATAAAGGTCATATGCAAACTTGAAAAACAACCAGAATCCGGCTAGTAACAGAAAGAGAAAATAATCTTTTTTGTCCTGCGGGTAGGGCTTTTGGGAAGGGAATCGATGAGAAATCGGGTACATTGGCACAATATGCTAGGATCATATATCATTTTGTTGTCTCTAGCCCCAGGGGTAGGCAACCTCGGCTCTTTTATGACTCGTGGACTTCAACTCCCAGAATTCCTGAGTCGACTGGAGGGAGGGAGACTTCCCTCTCGGTTCAAGCAACAGAGACAGGAAAAGCACGTGGGAGGCAACTCATTTCGACCATATCAACAAGAAGTCTGCACCCAACTGCTTCCCAACATCGGCAACTTTAAAGGATAATATGGACTTCAACTCCCAGAATTCTCTACAATTCTCATTGTGTTCTACAGAATTCTGGGAGTTGAAGTTCCACATCCCTTAAAGCCGCCGAGGTGGGGAAAAGACGGGGATAAGGACGTTAAGAGCCCCACGTGACTTGCCTTTTCCCGCTTAGGGAAATCGCGGCAAGCGCAGCGGCGTCATTTCTGATTGGTTCCGAGCGCCCGAGGCCGAGGGAGGCTTCGCTGCACCGCGCCAAAATTAAATGGAAGAGCGAAACAAAACGAGAGGAACCGACGGGGAGGAGATTCAGGTGCGGACGACCTGGGACGCTTTGAGGTATTGTGGCAAGTCGCTCACCGCTTTCGGTCGGATACGTTTCACGTCTTTCACTCTGCTGCATTCAGCGGTAACAGACTTTGAACCTCCAAAGCGAAGCGTTCGAGAGACAAAAATCTAGCCGAGTTTCCCCGCGGAATGGCGGAGGATTTATTTCTTTTATGTTTCACTCAAATGGAGGAACGCCGAACTATACGAGGGGTACATTTAGTCTGAAGTTGCGGACGCCAGATATAGGTCGACCAGCTTCATCGATAATTGGGTTACATTCCTTTTTAAAAATTGTTGACTCCATGGAGTGTACTTGGGAAGGAAAGAAGAGGTCCTCTGATTAGTAGCAGTTTTAATCGATGTTTTCCTTGAATAGTTAACATCAAGGGTCTCCCAACTTGGCCCTTTTATGACTTGTGGACTTCAACTCCCAAAATTCCTCAGCCAGCGTGCCTGGCTGAGGAATTCTGGGAGTTGAAATCCACAAGTCGTAAAAGGGCCAAGTTTGAAGACCCCTGAGTTACATGTATACTGTTTGTTTGTTTTTTAAATAATTTTGCGCTTGCATTGAAAGGGTATGGTTGGTGCAGTGCTATCAAAATTTATTTGAAAGTAACCCCGGCTGTATTAATTGAGTCCTAAATAGATTTGTAACCTAAATTGTAAATTAGATAGTTTTTTTTGTGTTGTGCCTATCGGATTCAGTTCCAAGAATCACACCTGAAGTTCCTCTAAATCAGTCTAACTTTCTACAGTAGTTAATGGGAGTCAGGGATAGGGAATTGAAATTTTCTAAATGTTGTTGAATTGCTATGCTTTGGGGCCCAGTTAATGCCTGGAAATGATAAACTCGATATTGAAGATTCATATATAAGCTTATCCATAATAATATGATTTGGTTTGGGCCTGATATATTGTGTGAATCTTATTGTTGTTTGTAAACAAAAGTGTAAAACATTGTCCAAAAGTAACTATGATTTATTCAATAAAAAATAGTTAAACCAGGGTTTAGTTGATTTACAGACTTAACCAGATATTTACCTTTGGGGCATGTGGAGGGACTAGAGGTCAGGACCCTGAAGTAAACGGCTACTTAAAATAATGTACAAACACCACCATAGAAACAAATTGATGTCTGCCTTAATAACTACTTCCACCATTAATGTATGCTACATATCTATTGTCTTTTAATTAATTCAGAATGCAGATCTGTTAAAATGCCAAGATGAGTATTGAGCCTAGCAGGAAAGGTTCTGGACGAGGAGGAGGGGGTTTTCAAAGATGGAGAAGAGGAAGATGGCAAGGGAGAGGAAAAGGAAGTGGACAGAAAGAAAACTGGAAAAATGCTGGCGAGAAATTAGTATCGGGTATGTTAATTCCACAGCTATATTTATAGCATTCATATGATTGCCCAAGTTAAGAAGGATGACTCTGAGCAGTGTACAAAAGTCATCTAAAACAGCAAAACAATGCATACCATTAAAGCCTTCTCACAGAGTTAAAACAATGAAACGGCAGTCAAAAATAAAATATATTTGAACTCAACCTGTTGGGAACTTTGCTTATCCTTGGCTGCTTTCCTTGGCCTTCCTGGAGGGCCAACCATATGGGGAGGGGCATAATTCCAAAACGTAGGGGGTGCCACCAATGATATTGTTTCAATGAGAAGACCTAGAATGTTTCAATCAAAGTCATTCCAAATATCTCAGGCACATCCCTGCATGACCTTATTTGCTTTGGAGACTTAAAAAAAAAAAGTTTCTGGAAAAAAAAACCGTTTTAATAGCATAATACAATTACTATGCTATAATTTAGATGAAAGTTTTAAAGCTGAATCTTATAATCAGGTTGTCCCTCTGTACAGGCAATTATTATCTTTATTATTTTAGATGCTATTTGCAGCTGCAACATGTATATAAATTGTTTTTAATAACAAATTAAAAATGCTCAATTTCATCACTGACTATTTGAGGCGATACTTTTCAGCACAACCTCATCTTATTCAAACTACTCTGGACCAGGATGCTCCATATAAAGGTTGGAAACTTTATTTCTCTGAAGGTGAGGGCTTTCTTTCTTTGTATATGGTACAATTGAGAGCTGATTACAGTTGAAATTTACAAGCTGTAGGTCATGATGCTCTGGGAAACCATGAGCAAATTTTGAGGACAGGGTCACAGATTTTTTTAAAAAAAATTACACATACAAAGCAGGCTCACTGCCAGATATTGTTCCTGTTCTGTCCACATAAATTCCTACTCTGCCTGAATGAGGCAGCCAGGACTGGAGTATCACCCTTATGTTGGATTGTCAGAGGCGTATTCCCACATATATTGCCGCAAATTGCATTTGACTGAAGAAGTTGAGTTGGTGTGATGAAATAACAAGCATGTGGCTTATTTTAGTATAACAATATCACAGCATAAAGTGAGAAAGAGCTAATGTAGTATAGTGCTGGTGCTGGACTGAAAGTTGGAGGGACTTTGTGCACAGAAATCCACTGGATGAACTTGGACCACTCATTCTCTCTCAGCTCTAATCAACCTCAGACTCTGCAACAAGCCAAATGAAAAAACAAGATTTATTGCATTATGCATTGACAGCTTTGGGAGTGGATTAGGTGAGCACAGTGCAAATCAGGTGAATGCTGCAACCAAGTGGGACAAACACTAAAAAACACCATCACAATTTAATATGATGCCTAAATCTGACTTCGGTATGTCAAATCTGCTATGCATATCTTTGATACTATATAAAAAATAAAATGCGAGCAGAATACTTTTGGGTAAACATTTGGATTTCCATATTGAGTAGTATAGTTTTGTTTCATATAGAAATATGGTTCATGTAAGTTGTGCTGTTTGCAGGAAACAAACCTATATAAAAAAAATTATGTAATATTTTGAAAGGTACACAAATCAAAATTGAGTCTCCCTATCAGGAATAAATTGAATATGTGTTTTAGAATATGATCAAGAGTTCTTAAAACTTTTAATTTTTTAAATATAAAAACTCCTAAATATAATAGTATTTTTTTTTGTAAAAATTTTTATTTTCAACTTTACAATACATAACAATCTTACAAATACTTCAGATAAAAAATAAAACACATTGATACACACCACATTCGGTCTTGCCCGCCCATTTCCCCCCAAACTGCATCCCACCTCAAACCAACTTACTTCTTTCCCTAAATATAATAGTATTATATTGACTTTCCTTATCATGCAGCCCAATAGTTTTCATATGTATGATGAAGTAAACCTGTGTTCAATGAAGTGTTAACATTGTATCATTCCTCTGCATTGCTAAGCAGTTTGTAGTTGGATTTCACACACTCTGTTAACCTTAATGTAATTGATCTTGGCATGGTGTGTGAATTCTCTCATTATAACTTAGTGCTATATCACATGATGGTTAAAACCTGTATCATGTAAATTCAACTACTTATTTTTGGCATGCCTAAAACTTCATAAAATGAAGCTATAAGATTTCTGTCTGGCACGTAGCTTCATTAATTATGATAATTGCAGTCAAAGTAATGCTTGTAAAATAAAAGATGGTCAAGATTATGTTTACTTGAAGAAATTAAATTCTTAGTATTGTAAATATTAATGGAGTGTCTTTAAATCCTCAGCAGAACTTTTTAAAGTTGCACTAAATGTAATGTATTGTTAGTATATTAAAGATTGGCTTGTAAAATCAATAAGTTTGTTTAATATGTTCTTATATGTTCAATGTTATCTACAGCCATAACTATATTAACTGTATTAATCAACATTCTCTAATTCAGTATATGATGACAGCTCACCTTTTGTTCAGAAGATTGAAGCTTTTGAAACTTTTTTCAAATCTCGAATAGAGTTTTATGATAAGGTA